TGAAGCACTATATTCCCAATAGGAACGCAAAGGGAATGAAGAAATCACCATTGTTTAACATACTCTTGGTTTGTCAACCAGGAGTAACCATATCATGTCATATGACGTCAGTTCACATTGATGGTCAAACAAGACGGTGGCTAAGGGTGTGTAACAGGTTAAGTCGCTAAAGCATTAACGATCGCTTTGACTTGCTTGCTCGATACTACTTATGTTGCTGATTTCACACACACTGTCACTAATATGATGACTCCCACATATGTGCTTTTCGTGAGATTGAACAGACAGAGTAAGAGAGACAGAAGTATTGCTTAGTACACATGATCTTTGATAATTGATCTCTAATCTCCTAACTAATCTCTAATCTACGTCTGCAACAAGAATATTTACAACAGCCTGTTGCAGCCCTTTATCAGCCGACAACTGTCAACCAACTATCGCTCTATACTGAAGATCAGATGGCCGGTCAGGTCGGAAAGAATCAACAACAAAAAACTATGGGAAGGAACAAACAAAACAAGAACCAACCAATCGCCAACCAACAAATATGCAGCAGAAAGTGGATGGAGATGGATTTGACAGTCGCTGAGGAGGCCGCCGCTGTGGAACATCGCGCGCGCCTCAGGCCTTTGCTCGAGTGGAACCAGGTCTAAAGGAAAGCAGCGAGTGGGTCGTCGGTGCAAGGGTGACATGGAGGAGATTGTGTGAAGAGGAGTATGGACAGTGTGGACTAACATGGATGGAGGTGAAAAGTACAGCAGAAGCAAGACAGAAGCAAATGAAGAAGTGGAGTTGAAGCTCTATGTTCCACTAGGGACCCAACGGTACAATAATAATAATACTGCTACTGAAACCTCAAGCCTCTAGCTTGAAGTCATATATTCCACTGGGACCATAAAGGAATAGAAAAACTGTTTACTACTGATAAATTTCAAGATGGAACTCCTCAGATTATAAAATTGATGTGTGACAAGAGTCAGTTAATGACCTGGAAATCTTTGTATCAACTCTAATTGTTTAAGCTTACAGTTCACTCTGTTTCCAGCATATGTAATCTGATATGGACACCATCAGTGCGACACACACACACATGGGTATCGTGTTAATATTTGCGTACATTTGATGATTAGTATATTTAAGTTAATACACTTAATACTACGAAGTTATCCTGACAATTATCTGACAAATAACTTGTCTCCATTTTCATAGTTATAAGACTAGATTAAAAAGGAGAAAAATTTACAACTCCTACACAAATCTTTCTAGTGTTGCTGATTGTCGTAGATTGAATAGTTACATTACTTTTAAAAATATTTCAAAGTGTACTTGCTTCGCGAAGATCCCAGATGTGGTTCCATCACATAACGCTTCCATTCAAGTTGTCAAAGAAGTCGTTAGGCCGTATCGATGAAAAACTTCTATAACACTGTCTGCTTGTGAAGCAAGTGTTTCACAAGTATGTTATTGTTGATCTAGACTCTTTATAAAAACCACATATAACCGTGTCAAACATTTCACATGGTTGAGAATACAAATAACGATAATCGCTAGTGCCCGTCAAAGATAAACAGTATCACTTCATCGTTTAAATTATCATCAGATGATATATGTATGTCCAAACCAAGTTCACTTTAAGCAGTTTAAAAAAATTTGGGCAATGAGTATATGATATTCATAATAACAAAGGTTTTTGTATTTCATCATGCGCTGACATTAGTTAGAGAACCATTGGAAAACCTGGGAGTACTGGACAGCTGTTTCGTCCTAGTTTTTGTATTTCCCAATGAATGAAAAACAAAACGATATTGTTTTTACTCACGTTTCGCTATTCAATGCTGCTAATAGCTTTATCAAAGTATTATTGAACCGGAATCTACAAAATCTCAGCATATATATAACAAAGAGTTAAGGGGTGAGAAAATAGACTACTTAGGTCAACTTAAAAAGACATACTGAAAATCAAAATAGCAATGAAGATCACTAAACCAAATATCAAAGGTAATAGTACGTCTGTTATGATATCAAAATAAAGTTTACTAACTTCATCATCGATCGTCAGTCTGGAGTCATTTTTGTTGTCAAGTTGATCATTTGGTAAAGATAACGAAATCAAACCTATAATCTTGTTTTGTTTGTTCCCATAGTTTTTTGTTGTTGATTCTTTCCGACCCGACCATCTGACTGATCTTCAGTACAGAGCGATAGTTGGTTGACAGTTGTCGGCTGATAAAGGTCTGGAACAGGCCGTTGGAAATATTCTTTGTGACCTGCCCGCCAAGTTTCCCATCCGTATAGAACAGCTGACTCACTTGACGTTGTTTGTATTGAAAATCCGACCGAATTTTGTTGTTGATGCTGGCTGAGTGACGAAGATTTTCAGATCAGATTGGTTTCAGGTTGATATGAATGTGTTTCTTGCCCGCCTTCCCGATTCTCGCTCGATTTGACATCCTCGTCCGTTCTAGCTGCGTGTAGTTGAGACAATGCTCCTTATATACTGAAGTGAATAAAGTAACCTCCTTCAAATCTCTCCCGTTGATGGTGATTGGCACCGGGTGTTGCTGTTGTTGTTGGTTGGTTGGTTATTTTCATAACCTCCATCTTGTCTATGTTCACTTGGAGTCCTGTCTTCACCGGCTGCTTCTTCGACCAATTTGTCGGTCGGTTTTCGCTTGTAAGTCTTCGATTTTGTGTGACATCGAACATAAATCATGCACGCGCGAAATCCAGGTCTTGTAGGTTCTTCACGTCTGCCTGTCCATGATATCCCTGTCTTTTCGTTTCCCACTCGCTGTCTGACGACGCATAATCCCGTCCACCACAATTAGGAAAATCATTGGTGATAATAAACACCCTTGTCTGACTCCTGTGTTTACTCCAAACGCCTCGCTGAATTTTCCATTGTGGATCACTTAACATATGGTGGTTATTTTTACAGGATGGAGTTACTAGTCTCATGCCCAACCTTCCATCTTTACCAGTCTGATTACTGGCTTAACGAGGTAAAGGAGTGAGTCGGTGGTCGGGGATAGAACCCTGGATGACCACGTGAGGCGTGGTTGACGAGCATTCTACCGCTGTGCCACGGACGCACTTAGTAAACAGTGTTTAGTTATTGCTAGTTGATCTCGGTTGGATTCAATTCTCTTAAGATAATTTACATATATATATATCACATTATTGTTCCTTTGGAACCCGGTTGAAACATATAACTTCAGTAACACATTGTCGTTTCACTCTGTTCTCTGATGTCTTTTTTGGATGGCTTCAGGATTGGCCACTGATTTTTATTTTTTTTTCTCCACACTTTGGGATGCTCAACCCGTCACAGAAGTTCTTAGGACCGGCTAGTAAACTGAGTGAAGTTATGGATTAACAGTAGATTTAGAATATTCAATGTTAATGACTATTTCTTTTCAGCCTGATAATTATGAGTAGCTCGGATTTATGATCCTGTCCAAATTATCAAACTTCAATATCCATAGAAATTAAAAGTCAGGACTAATGATTTAATTGTTGACAACTAAGGATGTTATAGGTTTTGGCCTGTAGGGATTTAGTTGACTAGATTTATCACGAATCAACATCATGTAAAGAAGCACTGATACTCGTTTCGTTTCAATGTGAGGCTCTTCAGTAACAGGCGCATGTGACCAAACCAATATTATAACTATTTCCTTGGTTTTTGAGCGGAATATCTGGCTTCAACAGATCATCTCCACTATAATCCTCTTCAGCTAGCCCTACAGTTGTCTGTGAGCTTTCATCTTCTCTTTAAAGGAACTCCTCCGTATCATCCTCCGATGCCGGACTCCATTCTGACTCAACTTTCACTTAAACGCTTGTCTCGTGATGTGACATTCAGTGGTTCGTTCAGTGTGTTTCCAATCCATCTCCATCTCTCTCGGTATATTTACTGAGGCATAGATTCTTGGTTGGTTTGCTGCTAAAGTTCGTTGTCACTAATCCTTTCTAACAGGCCATCTGATCTTCATTATGGCTCCAGTCTGTGGTGGCCTCCTGGAAGTGATTTTAGCGATGCTCTACGTTTTCGACCCATATAGAACCAGTGATTTAACTTTTATGTTGAAGACTGGAATTTTGTTCTTTTTGCTGATTGCAGTAGATTTCCTGATTGATTTCAGAGTATTGAAAGTCTATCCTGCTATTCCTAACCCAACTAGTTTTGACATCCACATTCTTTCTGCCTATAGTTCAAACGACGCTGCCTGGCTGGGTAAGTAACAGGAAGTCACCTTCCTCGAATTTACATCCTTGATAATGACTGGTGTCCTCTGTTGTTGGTAATATTTCATCATCACCTCAGTCTTCTCTGAATGCTTGCTTGTGCAAGTCTTGTCCTTGCAGCCACTTCTGTCAACTTGTTGATTTTCACCTGTATCTATAGATCTTTGAGTTTGTGCGACGTGAGACAAAAATTATCCGCGAAATCAAGAACGCCTGGAGTATTTTTTTTCAGTTCAGCAACTGACCCTGTTTATCACTGCTCACAATCTACCCCATACCCTTAAGTAAGTAAGGTATTGAGCTCAATCTCCGATCAGGTCATTTTGACTTTTAAATATATATGGTGTTAGGTTTACAAAGTGGTTTTCAGCTACATAGATTCAAACTTTAATGGACTATCCATTTTGCCTTCACCATAACTTATCACGTGAGGAGAAAATCAAAAAGTTTGTGGGCATTCGTGGAACTTATTTTGATAAAGTCTCACAGTGTTATACATTAATATTTACTGATGATGACGTTTTGATTACAATTTATTGCTCCTAACCATTCTTTTTCACAGTGCACAGGTTCTATTCTTATATTCGTGGAACTGAATGTATGGAAAACTAATGAACTGAGCACAGTAGACAGTGTGCCACTCAGACCCTGTACTCCACTCAGAATGCAACGAATAAATATTGATTGAAATAGTCCTTACCCACCAAGAGTGAATCAATAATAATAATAAATCAATAATAGATATGACTAACCTGAACTCGGTAAGTGCATAATCAGAGGCTCTTGCAGCTTCACTACCTTCTTTCCCATAAACTCCAACACCAATATTAGCCTGTAATATCATAGCCACATCATTACCACCATCTCCGATAGCAGCTGTCACTGGTATCACACCCTGACGTGTATATTTAGCTAAACCAATCTGAACTAATTTGACGATAGATGCTTTTTGCAGAGGTGTCATACGACAGCATAATACAGTTGTAACTCTCATACATAAATCAAGAAATGCTTTACGTACTGATGGCTGAAAATTAAAACGGAAATATGAAAATAAAACATTAAGTAACAAAGGGAACTTTTATACTTTTTTCCAAATCATTAAATTAAATTGCAGGGCTGGCTCGAACTTGTACATACGTGGCAATTATGAATGTTACTTGTTTATGCTAACAGAGTATACAACAGCTACTTTATTTCTCAGCCAGCTACTTATTCGAGAACATGCACGTAAGTGAGGTGGAGAGTTTATATATATATATATAGTACAAAGAAACAAAACCAAGGAGTATTGAATCGTGCTCTTTCGTCCTAGCCTTGCATCTAGATTTCGTGATAGTTGGTACTCACTAGTCAGAAAGGCGCATCTGAAATCATCAAGGAGCTCATGTCCCTTCTGAGATTTGAATTTGAATGATCCAAACCTCAGAAGGGACATTAGTTCTTTGATGATTCCGGATATGTCTTTCTGAATGGTGAGTGCCAACTAGTACGAAACCAATGTCAGGTGGAGCTTCCTAACCATTACCTCCAACTATCTAGTAACCTCGTGGACTAGTCAACCAATGAAACGGGATGTAATGCTTCATGAATTCTGACTTCTAACAACTCTTGATTTTAGCATGACCATCTGCCAATGTCATCGGCGAGCATCCGTTCTCACTCCTCATCAGTTGGTAGACCCCACTGGCTACGACTTCTGTCCTGAACTTCGGGCAACTACTTCCTATAGCGAATTAACTAGTCCTAAAATCAAGAATTAGTAGAAGTGACAATTCATGGGTGGTTAAATCGTATCCCAGTGGCTGAATGGTCTAGGAGCTCGACTTGTAACCGAAAGGTCCTGGTTGCTTACTACAGATTAGTTCCAAACTAGAAAAAAGCAGCTGTCCACTACTCCCTGGCTTTCAAATGTCCTTTTACTGATATTACATCTGTGGTCAAACTTGGAACAAACCAAATCCCTACAGACTTACTGTTGACAAATGAATGCATTAACTGTCTGTCCAGCTATATATGAGGCAGCTGACTGCTTCATGTTTTAGACAAGCTATGGATCCACATATCAATATGTAAGTGTAGAATTAAGGCAATGTAGTAGAGTATAACTCCATACTTCTTAAGTTTATATGATATTATACACAATGATTAAAGAGTGCATTAATAACCGGATAACATTCCTACTTTAATTTATTACTAATAAACTTATCAATTATTTATTATTTTTATTATTTTCCCGTTGGGTTCCTAGTGGAACATAGGGCTTCAACTCCACGTCTCCACTTGCTTCTGTCTTGCTTCTGCTGTACTTTTCACCTGCATCCATATTAGTACATACATACTGTTTCAACTCCTCTTCATACGATCTCCTCCATGTCACCCTTGCACTGACGACCCACTCACCGCTTCCCTTTCTGTCGGGTTCCACTTGAGCAATGACCTGATGCGCGCACGATGTCACCCAGCGGCCTCCTCCCCAGCGACTGTCCAATCCATCTCCATCCACTTTCTCCTGCATATTTGTTGGTTGGCCATTGGTTGGTTCTTGTTTTGTTTGTTCCTTCCCATAGTTTTTTGTTGTTGATTCTTTCCGACCTGACCGGCCATCTGATCTTCAGTATAGAGCGATAGTTGGTTGACAGTTGTCGGCTGATAAAGGGCTGCAACAGGCTGTTGAAAATATTCTTTGTGACCCGCCCGCCAGGCTTCTCATCCGTATAGGAGAGCTGACTGACTTGACGTTAAATATGCACAGAAAATATTAGATTCACATTCCAAGAAAAGGCATATAAACAAATCGATGGTGTTGCGATGGGGAGCCCTCTGGGGCCCCTGTTAGCAGATATATTTATGTCAAAGTTAGAGAAACAAATGCAAGGTATGTTTGGAGGATTTATGCTGTATAAACGTTATGTAGACGATACTCTTATTATTGGTAATAATAATAGTAAATCTATTGAAAACTTTATTACCACCCTATTTAATCATATTCATCCAAATATCCGAGCGACTTCCGAACTAGAATCGAATAACAAACTCGGTTTCCTGGATATTACTATGACTAGGAGAGATGATGGAACGATTCAGCGCTCTATTTTTCGTAAACAGACATGGAGTGGACAATATCTTCATTTTACCAATTTTATTCCTATCCAATATAAACATCCCTATTGAGTGAAATGTGTGTTCTCAAGGGCCCGAAAAATATGCACGAGTGACACATTGATGGATGAGCTTCGACATATACATTCAGTTTTATTAGCTAATGGTTATCCAGAAAACTTCATCAATTGTCACGGTAAGGATAGACCACATTTTGAAAAGACAGCCTCTGTACCAAAGAAAGCTATCTGTCTTGATTAACCTACCATTCAAGGGCGACCAGATTATGCACTTGACAGCTAGCTCAAAGACACTTCGGTCAGCCATCAAACGCACATTCTACGCCGCCACATCTTTTTCCCCTCACTTGCCGAACATTTTCGATCCCTGTACCTACCCATGATTAAAGGACGAAATTCTGTGGACTCTACTTCAAACTGTACCTACAAGTTCACCTGCAGCTGCGGTGACACCTATATAGGTAGAACTAACAGAATGTTCCAATGTCGTCGAAAAGAACATGTTCCAAAATGGCTACTAAATCATATCGAAAATCCTAACGCGATTAATCTTAATAGAAATCCAGCATCATCCATTGCAAAACACTTATTAATGTCTGGTCACAAAATAAATATTAGTGACTGTTTCACAATTATTTCACATAACTCTAATTCAAGGTTATTGAAGGTGATGGAAGCACTTTGGGGGATTAATCACGTACAGCCTAAACTGTGTGTACAAAAATCAATAGACTTCAATCTTCGCCTACGCTGGACTACATGACCTATCTAAATATAATTGGTCATTAGTATGTACTTTTGTTTTTATTTGACTGAGTAATTTTCATGAACTTTATGTTATCATTGTTAACCATGTTAGTTATAAAGCGGTTGTAAAGAAACTGCGAAATGATGATATCATCTCTCGCGAAATTTGTCTTCTTAATGACTTGACGTTGTTTGTTTAGAAAATCCGACCGAATTTTGTTGTTGATGCTGGCTGAGTGACGAAGATTTTCAGATCAAATTGGTTTCAGGTTGATATGAATGTGTTTCTCGCCCGCCTTCCCGATTCTTGCTCGATTTGACATCCTCGTCCGTTCTAGCTGCATGTAGTTGAGACAATGCTCCCTAGATACTGAAGTGAATAAAGTAACCTCCTTCAAATCTCTCCCGTTGATGGTGATTGGAATCTTATCGAGTTATTGAAATAACCGCATAATTTGCTTCGTGTACTTCGAATTCTTCCAGTCTTTTTATAGTGCAAGCTCTGATTACTTATTCGGAATTGGTGTTATATATCATCCATAATATACGTATATGAGAATGATTCGATGAACAGAGATTACGTGGTTAACTACACACACACACACTATCTCTCTCTGCATTAACTATACGGCTTCTTAATTCATTAACCTTACCATTATTATTTGATTACATGCAAGTGAATGTATTGCTTTGACCAAGTTTCTTCTAGATTATGCAGCTTAGCAGGGTTAATTATTCTAGATCTAGTCAAATTTCTATGTTCCGAGATAATTTAACTGACCCCAATCTACTAGTTTGACCTATTTAAATAACTTCATTTATAGTGATTACATGGTATTTCGTAAATTATATTATTTATCTTAACTGGATCTATTAAGTCCTTAAGCAGACGAAAAATTTCTTTCCGAATCAGTTGGTCGGTTAGTTTCAAACGTCATCCTAACTTAAACCAAATCCAAAAAAATCTAGATTACAGGATTTCATCATGAGCTGACATTGGTTAGAGAACCATTGGAAAACCTGGGAGTAATGTCAGACAGCTGTTTCGTCCTAGTTTATGACTCTTCAGCAGTACGCACTCACTGCCAGAGTTCGAAACCAGGACCTTCTAGCTACAAGGCGAGCTCGTATATCATTAAGCTACTGGGACTCGATCCAATGGTGCATGAATTAGGACTTCTACCAATTCTTGACATAGTGCTACCATTTGGCAATATCTACTTCGATGAGTTACTGCCTCATCTTCGACCTGCTCTACACTACTGGTCACGACTTCTCATTTGAACCCCAGGTAACTACCTACCTGATTAGCTGACCCGAATTAGGTAAGAAATTTAGAGAATAGTTCAGCTATAGCACTCACTGCTTGCATTTACACACAATCAGGCAATAGGATGGTGTAGGGTGACAGTTTCAAAACCTAATGTAACAGGATGGCGAGAGAGACTGATAACAGAAGCTTTATTCATGGAATCAACTGATAAGAGTACGTGTAATTGGAATGATTCAACACCTGTCCAGTTGGAAATCTGGAAAATTCTCTTATGCCTGTGAAGACTAATATGAGAGAACAAAGAGAACTATAAAACTCAAGTTTCGAAGTCGTGTGATTATAACTGATATGATTATGAACAATAGATTTTGTTCGAAACATCACCTAGTAAATAATAATACTGTTTCATCACTGTGTGATATATCTAATGAAAAACTAATATGGAATTATTTACTATCACAGTGGCCAAGTTTTACACATATATTTATTAGGGATTCTATCAAGGGCCTTTGATGTCCCTTCCTTATATGTCAGTACTAATGTGGCTATCATTTCCTTGTTATTTTCCTTATTTTCTTGATTTCATTCTTGAAACCTTCTAAGTCACCGGTTAGTCTTCTAGCCCGATTCTATAGACATTTAACCAAAACCGTCTTTACCGATTCTGCATAGGATAAATTAAAATCTAAGTAAAGCATTCGTTCCCTTTAGATATAAGCTTTCTCGTACATGTTCAGAAAATCGTAGACATGCCTCTCTTTAAACAGTACCATCGCCAGGCATCTCCTTGACACCGGTCATTAGGTGGATGTCGCAAGATCGTCCGATATTATCAACAGACAAAAGAGTTCAATTCTTCTCAAGTTGGCTGAAGTCATCTCTATCAAGTGCCTAAAAGCTGATTTATGCGTCCAGAAAGAAGCAGTTATCAATCTTTCTTTGTCATAGTATCTGGATATTTTCACCTCTCTTTCATCTGATTACCTTGTGGTGAGAGCAGCCTGCTAGCCAATTGGTAGACATTAATCTACGTCAATGTCTAGGTCACTGATATGGGCCGTGATAAAATATGAACAAGGCTGTTTCAACAACCAGTCACAGCAAACTTAAACGTGGGCAAATATGATTCGCAGATAGATGGCTCCACTTTCCGAGGAACTCGAAAACAACCAGTCAGAAGACTGCGTTTGTCTAGGCTATAATAATGTATGTGAAATTTATATAAATACGTGTTGATTTTGGTAATAAAACGATCTGTTGCCAGCCCTTGTCTTCTGTTGTTACAACGTAATGTCAAAAGTTTCCATTGTGTATGATAATTATTGTTCGGAACAGTGTTTAATATTACATATATATATTTATGTATATGCGTATATTGATTGATTTTTAAAATGAACTCTGTGCAAGTATGTTAAAATTGTTTCTGTGTATATATTTAATAACGTCTTTAGCCTGTAGGAAGCTGACGAGAAGGCAACGAATTAAAAGATGGTACCAGTTTATTCTGCTTAAACTGTATTTCTTGCTTTATTCAAATTCATTAAGGGGAATGAATATATGGCCTTCAATAAAGCTGGACATATTCATTGATTTACAAATAGAAGTCAAAAAATTGCTCATGAACTCTGAAATTTCTTTTATCTAATCATCCCAGGCTACTTCGGCTATGACAGCCACCTCAGTGTATTGGTTTGCTGATAACTCTACTGAATTCCAATATAATTCTTATGCAATTGTTACAATTGGTGCTTGATTCAGGAGGTATGAAATCAATTTCAAAGTCGATTTCAATAGCAAATATGATTCATAGAAAATGTGTCTGCCAATTTGGAAAGTGGGTCTATCTGACTTTGACTAATATTATAACATAATTTTATCTCAAAAGTCACACAATCTCACCTTTGATGACACATGGTGGACATCGCACTTTGGGAATAAGTCATTCCTCTTTAATTCTCGACATCCCTGTCTTAAGTTAATCATGAATGATATTGGTGATTTTCTCACACACACGTTGATATCCTCAGTCGTGGATGTGAACAATTCAAATCTAAGTTTTTGATGAACAATCAGTTTAAAGAACTAATTCTCATCTACAGTCTACAATCACATAAATTTGCTGAACCTTTCGGAACAAAATCTGACTGTTACTCTAAATGTCATCCGTTAATTATCAGTGGCTGATCAACCTGCAGCACAGTAAGAGTTAAGTTCGGTCCGGATGCTAGGGTGTTCATGAAAGGCATATGGTTCACCGAAAAATCACATACCTTCACATTATAATCTAACCAGATCTCTCCTGGTCCTACTTCTACCGTCCATTGTACCTGTTACGCATATAATACCGACTGATACTCCCCGAAGACACTTGCATCACCCTGTCGAAATTATGGAGGTTGAGATCCCATCAAATCTTGACTGTATAAACAACGCCCAGGCCTAGATTTTAATACTGTTGTTTGCAATGACAGATTTTGCCAGCTTCACATACACACACACAATGACATTCAACTCAACCATCCTCCAGACATCATCGTACATTCCATTCTCAACTAAAAGTTAAATCCCTCTTGCCCACACAACTGCCCATCGAAAATGTAATAACCTTAATGTGAATAATCAAAGTCCGATGGGAAGGAAGCTTCAAACTGCACATAACACTTTACTAATTAGGCTACACGCAGGCAAGTTACTAATAGCTCTAAAATCCATAGAAGTTGGGACACCCCTGTATGGCAGAGACAAAAGTTCAGGACACAGTAAATGGACAGAAGGATTAGTTAATTAAAAATGTAACAATATCATGTATGATGTCACAAAACGAACACGAACGTGAGGATGACACAAGAACCGACTACAATGGCATATGCCTCGTGACTAAAAGACAATAACTAGTAGTTCCCCACACCGGAATACAAAGTGAAAAATAAGCCGCGAAAACTGCCGGTATCCCGTGTAACCGCGACTCACCCTTCCTCGTTGTATGTTCTCTGACAACCCATGATAGCTATGGTTTTATAATTTGTGCTAAATAACCTCAAAGAAATATCGATAGTTTAAAGAGCAGAGAGTTTATCATCCTAGTACACTGACAAAATGAAGAGAATAAATTTTTAACAAATCGATATTTTGACCACCCCTCCCCCCCAAAAAAAAACAACTTACATGTAATGCATATTGAATAGTTTTCCCATCTATAACAAGTCCAATAGGTTCATTTGCCATACCTGGTCTTTTTTTATGCTTTCTCCGAATATATAATTCACACTGTCTAGCTTTTATCCATGGAGATACTTTATTATTATTACTATTATTATTTTCATCATAATAGTATACATCAGGTTTAAATTCATTATCAGTATTTGCGTATGAATAGGATTCTGATACTGATGTCCTTGATATTGTATCAGAGATGAAAGCTTGAACTCTTGGTAGAATCGAATCACCAATAAATGATAGTCTGGGCTGTTTAATTCCAACTTGTTCATGAAACATAGAAGATGTTAAACGTTCTAACTGTTCGTATATTTTATAAGCTGTTGAATGTAGATCTTGACAGCCTGTTAATCGTATCAATGTCATATTTGATGTGAAATGTCCAACTGATTGACTCACTGTTATCGCTGTTTCTGCTTTATCACCAGTTAATATCCATATCTGTAGAAGAGATCATTTAAAGAAATTATGAAAAGAAACGCGATGATTATGCCTCAGATTCATGTTGTTTGTAAAACCAAAAAGGAGTTTTCATTATTAATGAATTATATAGGTAGGTGATTACATGAATTCGTCATTAGAGAGCAATCAACCGCTGTCGCCCCAAAAAATGAACTTCTACGGCCGGGGTGGGGGATAGACTTTGATCTTCCTCTCGAAATGTTCACATGTGACCACGCTTACAAAGGCCTCTCACAAATAAGTCTTATTCGTTGCCTTCCTGGAGGTAAAGGAAGTGCCTTACGAAAGTGAAAGCGGCTGGTGGACATGGTGATCTACCCAGCCAGGGAGTCTGGATAACCTTGACCCCAAACCTACAGTCTACATGGACTTCAGAATCCGAAACGACCAAGTGACAGATGCGCCGGTTTTATTAATCGGAAACCGTGAGAACGTAGCTCCTGACGGTGCGCCACTGCCTTGTGGAGGACCCCTAAGACAACCACCTGCTTTGGTGTGGGTATTTAAGCAGCAGTATCTCAGCGCTCGCGAGGGCTATGGGATTTCGTATGAGGCAGCTCTTCGTGTCCATAGTGTACCATATTTCTGTTTATAACAAACCAAACTTGCCTAGTCGTAAGCCCGAAAGAAAGAGAAGGCCTGGCTTGAGACTAGCAAACTTACCCGGCTAAATCGATCTAGATGATAGAGAAACTTCATATATACAGAAAACATAAATTTATTGCTAGTATCGAAGGGATGGAATGATGTGGGTTGATGATGACCTACGAGAAGCCGGTCAACTAATTTATCTTCTTTCGATCATGGAATATCCTCATGATGTTTTGACTGCCAAAGACATGAAAAGTTACACTATGGAAGTTCTAGGAATCTGGTACAAAAGAGAGAATGTAGATAAACTCTTCAAATTATTAACTGCAGAGTCAATAATCCACTCTGATTACCCAGATGACAACCACGAGCACGTTGAAGGAGTGGCTATCGTGATGTCACCAAACAGCATAGAAGGTTTTTATGCAGTGGGAACCATTCTCCTTCGGGAATGTTTATGAACAATCGTGGAGCCTACTGAAATGGACTACAGAAAACGCGATCAAATGGAGATGTTCAAATGAAGCCCTATGTTCCACTCAGAACCTAAGGAATAACCAGAAAAAGAGAGTTCTTCGTAGTGGTTTTAAATGAATTCTATTGGTAAACCTTGAAAACTAGATGACCATCCATCACAGTACTGTACTTGGAATGGTCTTAGTTTGGTTGGATGTTATTTTTAGGAAGCCATGGACCAACCAGTGGATCTACTATAAACCTAGAGAAGGTCAGTCTTGAGACTGAGTAGCTCAATGATAACAGCTCTGAGCACAACACTGGTTCCAGTGCTTCCTGTTAGTTGTATCCAGCCACGTAGTACTGTTTCGAAGTAATTGAATCAAATAGTATTTCTATTGATAACTGCTGGAGTCCGACACTACTATATTTCTGTCTTGTCAGTAGTATATCAGTGAAGTTTCTGACTTATCGGCATCTTGTGGATTATTGGGTTTTCAAGTGTTGCTTTTGTAGGGATTTTGTTTGATTGCATGGAGGATTTCATCATGAGCTGACCTCAGTTAGAGAACCATTGGAAAACCAACTGGGAGTACTGGATACTTGTTTCGCCCTAGTTTGGGACCCTTCATCAGTTAGCAGCCGCCGCCAGGGTTCGAACTCACGACCTTCTGGTTACAGGACTAGTGAGCTCGTATACCACTAGGCCATTGGGACCCGATCCAATGGCCAGTGCATGAATTCTAACTTCGGCCAATTCACGACACAGCACGACCATTTCGCAATGTCTTCTTCGATGAGTTACTGCCTCATCTTCAGCCTGCTGTACCCTACTGGTCACGGCTTCCCACTAAAACCCCATATTAACTGCCTGAATAGGGTTGATGAAGTAGCCAACTATATTGAGAAATTGTAATATAACAACAATAACCATCCGGGAAATGCTTGGAAATATAAAGGTAATGTCGTGATATCAATTTTCGATAATCCTATTTTGGTTTAATTATCTTCTCCAAGTTAAATGGTTTAATCAAGAAGCCTCAGTTATCCTCCTAATGGCCTACTTCTTCAGTGGTCATATCAGAAAAGGCTGTGTACAGTCTTTTGTCTGTACATTTGATGAAACTTTTCGCTTAGATGATGTTGACTTCATTCTCCCCTACGGATGTACCTCTTGATTTACATATTATGGGAGGAGTGCTCATTCTGATTTTTGTGATTATGATCATTGTTCCCTTGGATTCCTAGTGGAACATAGGGCTTCAACTCCACGTCTCCACTTGCTTCTGTCTCGCTTCTGCTGTTCTTTTCACCTCCATCCATGTTAGGCCATACTCTATATACTCCTCTTCACACAATCTCCTCCATGTCACCCTCGCACTGACATCCCACTCGCCGCTTCCCTTTCGGCCTGGTTCCACTCGAGCAACGGCCTGACGCGCGCGCGATGTCACCCAGCGGTGGCCACCTCAGCGAGTGTCCAATCCATCTCCATCCACTTTCTCCTGTATATTTGTTGGTTGGCGATTGGTTGGTTCTTGTTTTGTTTGTTCCTTCCCATAGTTTTTTGTTGTTGATTGTTTCCGGCCTAACCGGCCATCTGATCTTCAGTATAGAGCGATAGTTGGATGACAGTTGTCGGTTGATAAAGTTCTGCAACAGGCTGTTAGAAATATTCTTTGTGACTTGCCCACCACGTTTCTGGTCCGTATAGAACAGATGACTGACGTGACGTTGTTTGTACTGAAAATCCGACCGAATTTTGTTGTTGATGCTGGCTGAGTGACCAAGATTTCCAGATTAGACTGGTTTCAGATTGATGTGAATGTGTTTCTCGCCTTCCCGATTCTCGCTCGATTTGACATCATCGTCCGTTTCAACTGCGTGTAGTTGAGACAATGCTCCCTAGATAAGTGAGTGAATGAAGTAAATCCCTCCCGTGGATGGTGATTGGCGCTGAGTGTTGGTACTGTTGTTGTTGGTGGTGGTGGTTGGTTATTTTCATAACCTCCGTCTTGTCTGTGTTCACCTGGAGTCCTGTCTTCACCGGCTGCTTCTTCGACCAATATGACAGTCGGTTTTCGCTTGTAAGTCTTCGATTTTGTGACAGTGACATCAAACATAAATCATCGCCGCGTGAAATCCAGGTCATCTAGGTTCTTCACGTCGGTCCAGGATATCCCTTCCTGTCTTCTCGTTTCCCACTCACTGTCTGACGACGCATAATCCAGTCCATCACAATTAGGAATATCATCGTGTGTGATAATAAGCACCCTTGTCTGACTCCTGTGTTTACTCCAAACGCCTCGCTGAATTTTGCGTTGTTGATTACTTGACATGTGCCGCTGTCGTACAAATGTTGAATAAGCTTGATGAATTTTGGGGTACGCCATAGTACTCGAGTAGTTTCCAAATTACTTCACGGAACGTACTTTTTACGATTAAAAAATTCTAGAGGTTATTTCAAAAATATATTTATATTTTTCACAAGGTGCCTGTATACCCGGTCCTATAAATTCCATACTAGTATTGAATATATACTGTTCAAAAGTACAATGAAAGCCTCAAAATCAGATCATTCAGCTCAGAGACCGTAACGACAAATGAGACGTCGTCCACCTGAGCTACTTATTTAAAAATTAAGGCTGACTGTTACTGTTAAGACGTACATTTATCTCTTACATTTCGAGCGGAACCTAGCGCCTGAACGGCCCAGGCTTTATTCCACGTGGTTGGTTCTCTGCTATGAGTACCATTTTCCGTATGTCACCCTCCTACTCACACCTAACACATCACTTCCCATTCGGCAGGTCCTTGAACACTTGACAAATAAAGTCACTTGCAGTTCTTCTCAGTGTATTTTCAATCCCTATTGGTTTTCTCTAGGATATTTACTGGGTAATAGGTTGTTTTTGCTATTACACTGTATTCAGAAGTTCCTTTTCGTTGACCTTACTATCCGATTACCTGATTTTCAAAATATCCAGACAGAAAACTCACCTTGAAATAAAACAGAAGATTTGTGCCTCAGGTGGATGATTTACAATCAGTGGTGTTCCCTGAGTTGATTGGTTTAGTTGCAGAGCTTTCGTCGTAGAGTGTACAACATCTTCAGCGCAATATTTAGCATTAAGTGAAATGTAAAGATTAGAATTAATAGCCCTACCTATAATCAAAGCGAAAATCTGGGTACGTTACGTTGATCATACATTTGTGATAATTAAGAGAATATACCCATATGTAGAATATACCCATTAATTAATATACAACGTCTCTGAAGACATCGAATTCACAAGAGAAGAAGAATTAGATAACGAAATCAGGAGAACCAACACAGGAAATTTAGAAAAACAAGTAATTGGAAAATCAACGCACACACACAGATCAAATACTCAACTATAATAGTAATAACTCAACTGCTCACAAAAGAAACTGTGTGCAAACATTGTTTAAAAGAATTCAAACACACTGTAACACTCCAGAGTTGAAAAGAATGGAAGAAAAATACCAACAAACGGTCTTCAAAAAGAATGGTTATCCCCTCCACAAAATTTCATCAAAAAGTGTTTAAAGTCGAATCACAACACCAACAAGGAACCATCATCAAAGACCACAAGAAAAGTCATCCTACCATACATGAAAAATACCTCTGAAGTAGCAGCTAGAATACTGAAACCGTTTGAAATAGATATAGCACACAAGTCAGTCAAATCACTTAATTCGATATTATGCGAACCGAAAGACGCATCCAACAGAAAAAGGAGATAAAATGAACACCATTTACAAAATAAATTGCATGTAGTAACTGTAACAGGCATTACATCGGACAAAGTGGGCGTCTCCTTCGAATCAGAATCCAGAAACACAAATCAGCTGTGAAAAGACACGATATGTATTCCTGTTTCATATCAATGCATATCGACAATCATGGACTTCAGTTTGATAACTGGGATAATGTCGAAATCTTGAACAGAGGAAACACCACCGAAAGTGCAGTCAGGGAATTCCTAGAAGCCTGGTACTCAAACGAATATGCAATGTTAATACGGACCTAATCTACCAACTAATAAAAAGTAAATCATGTGACCAGAAAGTTTACAATCCAAGTCAATAGAAAATGGTCAATACGCATGTAAAGATGGTTACCGAGAGACGCAATTCTATCACTCATGAAGAAGTTTAAATCATTTCACTGTATGCTAAATATTGCGCTGGAGGGGGATGTTGTCCAGCGGGGCACGACGAAAGCTCTGCAACTAAACCAACTAACCTAGCTCAGAGAATACTATTAATTGCAGAAAAGTCATCTGTTGATGAAACTCTGCAGCGGCCATTTTGAAATGCTTTTAGTGACACATTCTCCAACTCTCTGAAGCACATAGAAGCCACATTGACTTGTCAATGGTATTGAAAATCTAGATCTTGTTCCTTGTTCTGAACCCCGTAGATCTCCACAGTGGTTTCACTTTGAAGAACCACTCCTGTCTCGTTATCTTGAACCTGGTTGGCTACGACACTCCAACCCACTCTGTCGCTTGTATGGGGAAAGCTGTTGCCCATATAAGTGATAGAGGTGGGTTCTTTTAGATTATTGTATTATTTATTTCTTTATTTCTAACCTGCAGTGGACTCATCAATTTGGATATTAGACTCATGAGGTTGATCTTAAAGTTGTTAGCCAGTGGTTACATATTCCGATTATCTCAAACTGGGTTAGGCGCACATTTCAGTATTTTAGAATGATTCTCAACTACTAATCTTAGTTAGTAGTATATACATTGTTGATATTTTTTATTCCTTTACGTCCCCTGTGGAACATAGGGCTTCAACCTGCAGGCTTGAAGTTTCTGTAGCAGTGGTGTTTATTTTTTACAGGATGGGGTTGCTAGCCTCATGCCCAAACTTCCCTCCTTACCAGTCCTATTACTGGCTAAGAGAGAGTTAAGGGCTGCACGGCCGAGGATCAAACCCGAACCACCTGCATGGCTGACGAGCATTCTATCGCTGTGCCAACGACGCACCACATTCGACCTGAGACTTACAAATATTAGTCTACTTTTGCTAACCACTTTAAACAGTGTGTACTTCTGAATCAGAATTCTACTGATTACGTTTGATTAAGTTCATCGTCGTATATAACTGAATATAAATATATACGTATGTGGTGTACACTGGTATGTGTGTATGTGTATGTGGCAACAATTGTAAATCATTTGTTAGCCTCTCCATAAGAAGATACAGACAATCTGAAGTTTAAATCAAGGATGACTAGTGATACATATCCATACTTCAGTTTGACGTATGCGTGCGTCGGTGGCACAGTGGTGAGGACTCTCGCCGACCATGCACATGGTCCGAGGTTCGATCCCCTGCCGGCGCACACCTGATATCTATGGTCGGCCTGCAAAATTTGGGCTACCGATATCCATGCTGAAAATCCCATACTTATACCAAAAATACAGTGTGGAATCAAGCTGTAATCAAAAATAAATAAATAACTGTTGCCTAGTAGGGCAATGAAACTTTGGCAAATAAATAAACCATCCAGCTAAGAGAACACACCATCAACATCTCAAAATCATTCACCTGAGCTACAAATCTTCTTCAACATATCCATTTTCATTTACTAATCAGGACTTGCCATGCATCAGCTAACATCACACTTTCACGTCTGTCCAAACTGTTGGGATTCATCCATATATGTAGGACTTTTGCAGTCAATGTTTTTCTATACGAACTGAACCTTTTCTGAAGAACCTTAGTCCCGTTTCTATCGAGTACAGTGAAACCGCCGATCTGTTTTCTAGCTTCTTCAAGTCTCCAGAGGTCTTTGGAACCACCTTTAAACACTGTTTATATTCCTTTACTCTTATACAATACCTGTCTAGGAAGTTTCTCATACTTATACGGTGTCACAACCTCCATAAATATTTCATGTTTTGTATTAAAATATTTCCTGTTTCCCCGACAGATTACAATGGATACATTTAATGTGTGTGTTTATTAATGAATTTACTCATCTTGTATGTATGACTCATTCTTTTTTGTAAAGATTTAAGAGAGATGAATTGATTAATCGACCTTCAGTCGACGTGTGTTATCCCATCATTTCAAAGTAATTTGCAGCTAATCATTATTTTTACTTACCTCCAGAAGTTTCACCTAAGTGTATTGGATTCAGTTGAGAAAGTTGAAGAAAAAACAACATGAGAAAACAAAGATTTATGAAGTACTTGCGATTTCTCCAAGAATTTTAGGCAATAATCTCAGATTCACCTTGAAATTATGCTATTTATATGTGGATTAAAAGAAAATAGAGTTTCTGGTCTCATTGGATGTGAACAGCGAATGTTTGTGTATTGGAACTGGTAGCCAATGGTGGACAACTCGAAGGCACAAATGGTTCAATCGTGTACAAGTTCAAAGAAGACGAAAGAATATGAATAAAAACTGTTAAGGAACTTAACCCTAAGTTCCTATTGTAACGAAGATGCTCCGAACCGATAATTATTATGACTTTCTCGACTTTAACTCCAAAACATCAGTACTTTAAGAAAGTTGTATTGTTTGGTAGTTAGAGCCTGGATAAATACAAGTCTGTAAGCAAATGTTTTATACAAAATATAATGTACTTTTATTCGTATTCTTTCGTCTCCTTCGAACTTGTACACGACTGAACCATTCGCGCCTTCGAGTTGTCCACCAATGGCTACCAGTTCCAATAAACAAACGTTCGATGTTCACGTCCATTGACATATGGTGTATGGCTATAAAAACTTTGAACAAGATAGGTTCGTATTAATTATTTTATTCAGTTGTCAGTTTCATTCATGTATTGCTAAAAAGGTTGTTTAACGTGTGATCCGAAGGCTTCTGTACAACACAGGACATTTCGGAGACATGATATGAGGGTAACAATTGCAGAAGATTTATCGATAATCGTTTATCTCAGTGTATTCCTGAATAAAAATTAGTAGAGACATTTGAACCGTCTTCGGATGGTGATAACGGATTGAAAATCTAAAACGACACCTTGTAATATTTTACTCGAATCCAACAAATCGATGAAGTTGTTAATTTGATACATTAACTTACTTGTATTCCTGCCTCTTTTAATGCTTGTATACAACCTTTAACACCAGGTTGCAGTTTATCCTCAATACCAGTAACAGCTATCGGTTTCATATCCGTTTCAATTTTATAATAACATTCTCTCAAAGCAGTAACACGCGATTGACCAATTAAACCAGATGCTGCTTTTAAATCATTAAGCAATTTCATGTAAGCCGCCTTATCTATTTTACGTTCGCCGAATACAAGTGTACGCAGACCATTGATAGCATATTCATTGACATATTTCAGTGCAGCGGTACGTCGTTTACCAGAATTAACAGGACATTTCTATGAGAAGTTGAAAAACCAAAAACCAAAAATTGGTAAACAGACACTTTCAGTTGATTGTTTAAAGATTAAAAAAAAGGTATTCGGTTCAAATATTGATTGGATTTCAAATTAGGCACCTGGGTATGAATTCCTGACTTGTAATTTACACAATAAGGAATACAAATCATCAGTAGTAATCCCATACAGAAAAGGAACCTCGGAAACCACCTTACGCGGAATTTTTAACAAGGCAGGAATAAAAGTGCCTGGCATTCAAACCCACAATCTCAATTAGATACAAGCTTCGTCGATTAAAGGATCCCAATAGTGGAGCCTACAACCGACAAAACAATTTAGTTTATCTAATACCCTGCCTGCAACGACTGTCAGGTCAAATACATAGATCAAACTAAGAGAATAGGGGCAGTCAGACTACCCGAACATAAAAGCCTAGCTAAATCTAGATTGGTTGACCCGAATTTGATAAGAAATCTAGAGAATAGTTCAGCTTTACCACGCACCACATAAAATTAAACACAACCATACAATAGGATGGGATGGGATAGGATGACAGTTGTAAAATCTAATGTAACAGCAGGGTAGATGGAGAGATTGATGTCAGTGGAAGCTTTGTTAATCGAATCAACTGCAAACAGGTGTAATGGGAATGATTCAACACCTGTCCACCCATATATCTGGAAGATTCTACTACCCCTACAAAGACAAATAGAAGAAGACAAAGAAAACTACAAAATTCAAGTTTCGAAGTTTTGTGATTGTAATTGATATGATTATGAACCGTAATAAATTTTGTTCGAAACGTCATCCAGTAAATAATACTGTTTCATCACTGTTTGATACATCTAATAAACAAACTAATATGGAATTATATACACACTTGTTTTCTCCCTGTACTAACCAGGATGGATAGTGTCTTCGAACGTATCTAACAAGCTGATCCTTAACATCGACTGTATACTCAGCTCCACACGAGCCAGTAAATTGGTACATGCATGCTGAAGTGAACCAATGCGTTAGCTTGTCTTTCACATGCCGGCTGAATAATTTTGTTGCAAGATAATTTCCCTCCCAGGTTGGCGGCTAAGTGTATTGTTTAATAACAGAACATCTGGTGAATTCAGTACATTCAACTCCCTTTGGAAAGTCTTTCACATAGTCAATTGCAAAACCCGATCAAAGCGGCTAGTGAGATTAAGGCATCTGAGCACAGCTGAAACACTAGCGATCAAGAAGCTCAAGCCTACGCTATAAAGAGATATACGACTGGTAAGTAAATAAACTACACTGAATCAGTCATAAGAAAACAAAAGGTTAAAATACTTTTCTTTAGAGTTTCTTTTAAATAATAACTTGGTTCCACACAGTATTTTCGGAGCTACTATGGAATTTTAAGCATGTGATACAGGTAGTCCAAATTTAGACAACCACTGTTGATACAGATGTGTGTCAGTCACGAATCGAACCCCGGACCACATGCGTGACTCGCGACCATTTTACCACTATGACACATTCGCGTGAGTCAAGTTCAGATAGACAGAAGGTGGAAAGGTTAAGGGAGATTGAAAACTAAGATTATTGTGGATTACATCACAGAAAGAAGACTTGCAAACGTTAGAGACTGGGAAGAATATAATAATAATAACAGCAAAAATAATAATAGTGAAATGAGTTGAAGTATTGTTACTGGCAAAAGAGACATCAAATTAGATAAAATAGTAATAATAATAAGCCAGTGTGATAAAAGATATTATCCTGGTAGATTCAAAGTGACCACCGTTTTCTTCAGTGCACAGATATCGAATTACACAAGCCTCTGCAACTGCAAGCAGCCTTCAGTAATTTTGACAACAGCAACTGAAGTGACTTCATCAGTATCATGTCCATGGTCTCTAAGATGCTTTGTTATCGAACATTTTTCATATCTTGACTCCAGCTCCTCTCAGCCACTTGAAGAAATTATCAGTCATACAAGTAATAAAGAATTTAGAAACAGGACGTTACTTACGCTAACATAATAATAGTAATAATAATAAAAGTAGATAATAATGATTCACTTTATTCCAAAAACAGTACTTGTGATACAGAATGGAATTTTCAGCATCAATCACAACACCTTGCATCCAATTTCCTCAAATTATAAATAAAATTAATCACACAGAAAAATTTTCCACATTCACAATAGGGGTAATGTCAAAAACATGCAGCATATAAAATGGAAATAATAGTGATAACACCTAAGTTAATAATAATCATACAAGTGAAAATTTCCGTGGGCTTGTTACACACAGTATTGTCAATGCGGTATAGAAATCCAATCATGTTTAAAAATACTGAATATAATGTTCTCTTTACATGATATGGTGAAGGGAAAAACAAAGATTACAGCAGTCATAGAGATAAGTTGGTGTTTGCAATTATGAGAGTAAAACAAACAAAGAAGCAACAGGACCATAAATAGAATAGAAATAATAAAAGTAAAACTTAAAGGTATATAAGGATGGATGGAGGAAATTGTTTATTTACTAGATGAAAAAAGGTTGGTTAATTCTTGCCTAACACAATTTTCATCACATAAAATACGTACTGTCAAGTATGGTATCATAGAATTTTTATACTTAGACGTGTGAGCATACAGTTTTCTGAAGTTACTTCTTGTTCTACATGAGGAAATGCAAGATGAAAGCTGAGAGTGAAGTGGATGCTCCAAGTCAGACAAAATCCCTCTAGCAAATTGATTGCACGAAGTCAAGTGCCTATCGACAACGACGTTAACTATGTGGTCCATTGGGACACCACTCACCCTACTGACACTCTTCAGCATTCTACGAATTGTGACATAGTCCTTTTTAAGCAAACCAGGAAAGAATAAGGGTGAACAGTAAAGAAGAATAGGTAGGGTACAATAGTTTATGAACTGTAAGAGGAGGAGGGGTTGAGTCATACCCGAGTGCCTTAACTTCTTAATGTAAAATGTCAGACGGAATATTTTACTGGAGATATCACTAAGACATGGGAAGACCAGGAGAGATCAGAAGAGAGAATACGTCCAAGATACTTGATTTCTGATTTAATTCCTATGTCACTGTCGTGGATTTTACAACTATCGTGAGAATCGATGACTTCTTTTAACTGTCTTTTACATCTAAAGCTGAAATTAAAAGTTTGACATTTAGAAGGATTCAGTTTAAGACCTTTAGACTCAGATCATTTACTGACTCCCTACAGAAAGCTATTTATTACTTTGGTACATCATGTAAGCACTATGATAAGCGCATCGATATATATTATCAGAACTAGCCGTAACAATAAGATATAGCCGTCAGAACAGGTAAGCATTTGATATAGTTATGTTCTCTGAGGTGGTCGATTTAAGTGAGGAGCTTCTGTTTTCCCAATCTACACAATATCTTCAGAGTAGATTTTAGTATGAAGTGAACTGACTGAAATTCTCCATGAATGATATTCACTTGTATGTCCTGAAAACTATTGTCGTGACGGATTGTTAATTTACATCTCCATAGATCATATTTTTATCGACTTGGAATTCGAACTTTATCGTCGTGTGATTTACTTTTTATTAGCTGATAAATTTTGTCTATAATAATGTGCTTGTCAATTGCTAATTCACTTGAATACCAGGCGTCTACGAATTCCCTGACTACATTTTTGGTGTTTCCTCTATTTAAGATTTCTCCATTATCCCAATCATAAAAATCCTGTCCATAATGATCCACATGCACTGATACGAAAGGATATATATAAACCATTTCTGTTTACAGTCGATTTGTGTTCTTTGGTTCGAATTTGAAGGGGAACTCAGCTTTGATTGATGGAATGTTTATTGCAGTTCATACATGCAATTTATTTTGTAAATCGTATCGATTTTATCTTCTTTGTTTTGTTGGATCTGTCGGTCGGCACAATATTGAATGAAATGATTGTACTGGTTGGCTTGTGTGCTATGTTTATTTCAAAGGGTCTTTGTATTCTAGCCGCTATTTCAAAGATATTTATTTCCCATATATATAACTGAGTGAATTCTTTTGTGGTTTTTGAGAAGAGTTTCAATGTTGATATTATAACTTGAATTTTCGACATCTTTTGATGAAATTCCAAAGGTGTTCATTCTTTTCGAAAACAGTTGGTAGGTATTTCACTTCCATTCTATTGAGCGTGACTAAACTCTCTTTTAAACAATATCTGGACACAGTTTCTTTTGTAAGTGATAAATTGGATTACTGCTATTATAGTTGAATGCTTAATCTGTGGACACTGATTTTATGGATACTTGTGTTTCTTAATTTCCTGTGTGGTAGTTCTCTTAGATTAAGGAAGACATCTAAGAATGGAATTTTGTTCTGTAATTCTCCTTCTCATGTGCATTTAATGTCTTCAAGTATGTTGTTTATTAATTTGTGAGTGTACCCAAATTAGAACTATCCATACAAACGAAAATTATTCAACCACTTCTACTCTCTTGGTAACAACTCTGTTGATTTAACTTAACTTTTGCTTGTATGCTTATTTTTCTAACTACTTAAAACTCTTGCGTATATTATTCCACCCTGAGTACAACTCTCTCATCAAATTATTCATGTTATTACGTAACTCTTCTTTAACAATCGTTTGTGATTACTCATGACTCTTGTTACTACCCAACTGTGTATCAACACGCAATTCATTTGAACTTACTAACTGTATTTTAAATCGGAAAATTTAAAGTATACATGCATATTTTCGCGGTTGTAACAGCTATGGAAATGAATTCACCGGCGAAAAGAGACTCTTTTTGTCTCTGACCTACTGATCTTCTGTCTTTGAATAATCGAACCGGGATTTTTCATGATATTAACACCTTATCACTGAAAACCTGACGCTGATATTTCACGAATTATACCACTCGATTCTTACCTACCTAGTCAAATAGTTTGAATGACAGTATAACTGCCAAAATGGGTTATCAATAACTTACCGCACATGAATTGAATATCACGCTT